CTTTTATTTTTGCTACAATTGCCCCATCATGGCATAATACAGATATTTCAGCTGCGAACACACCAGGCCAAACTGCCTTGTTGGAGTGCTGTGTCTCTAGACCCTTTGGTTTGTCTGCAGAGAAATCTCTCTTTAGTGGCCTCTTCCAGGATATTTTACATGAGCACTGGTCTGTTTTCTCAGCCCCCACTGTGGGGTGCAGCTGCTTCCTATGCCCCTCCTTCCCTTAGGATGCGGAAGGGAGAGCTGTTTGACTATCTCACGGAGAAGGTGGCCCTCTCAGAAAAGGAAACCAGGTAAGGGTTGAGCCTCTAGCCCCTGCGGTGAGCAGGGGGTGGGGCAGGGCAGGGAGGAGCAGAGGAGGAGACTGCACCCCTACCCCCACCCAAGGTCCATCATGCGGTCTCTGCTGGAAGCAGTGAGCTTTCTCCATGCCAACAACATTGTGCATCGAGATCTGAAGCCCGAGAATATTCTCCTAGATGACAATATGCAGATCCGACTTTCAGATTTCGGGTTCTCCTGTCACTTGGAACCTGGCGAGAAGCTACGAGGTGAGGGGATCTGGTGTCCTAATAGGCTCGGGAGGGGAGACCTAGGCCTGATGACATTGGTTGGCTGGGTCTGAGTACCGAGTCCCTGGTGCCAAGAAAAGGGGAGAAGTCGGTGAGCACTTGCCAAGTACCCTCTGGGCGCAAGGCTTGTGTTTACCTCAGAGTGGGTTTCCTGACCTGGGGAGGATGGAGACAGACAAGTGGGCAGAGGGCCATGCCAGGGGAGCCTGGAGGAAGGAATACTGATTCAGCCTGAGCCCCACAGAGGTAAAAAAGGGAGCAGGCCTGGGCGCGGAGGCACATGCATGTAGTCCCAGCTACTTGGGAGGCTGAGGTGGGAGAATCACTTAAGCCCAGGAGTTCTGGGCTGTAGTGCACTATGCCGATTGGGTGTCCGCACTAAGTTCAGCATCAATATGGTGACCTCCCGGAAGCAGGGGACCACCAGGTTGCCTAAGGAGGGGTGAACCGGCCCAGATTGGAAATGGAGCAGGTTAAAACTCCCATGCTGATCAGTAGTGGGATTGCACCTGTGAATAGCCACTGCACTCCAGCCTGGGCAACAGTGAGACCCCGTCTCTGGGAAAAAAAAAAAAAAAAAAGGGAGCATGCAGAGCCGTGCTCAGCCACATGTTTGGAGTCTGGAGTGCAGGACCACAGGAACCTGATGTGATGTGTCCAAACTGCACTTCCCACCTGGGCCCTGGGCCTCAGGCTCACCTGATGTGAATACATTTGTCATGACAGGAACATTGCTAGTGCAAATGGGAAACTTCAAATACAATTCACCTATGGGATTCTTCAGAGCCTTCAGTCTGCCACTGACTTTCTCCCTCAGTGGCTTTGCACTGGATTTATGAAAAGCTGCTCTTCACTGGGCATTCACTATGAGGCAGGCACCAGTCTTTTTTTTTTTTTTGAGATGCAGTCTGGCTCTCTCACCCAGGCTGTAGTGCAGTGGCATGATCTTGGCTCACTGCAATCTCCACCTACTGGATTCAAGCTATTCCTCTGCCTCAGCCTCCTGAGTAGCCGGGATTACAGGTGCCCACCGCTACACCCAGCTAATTCTTGTATTTTAGTAGAGTTGGAGTCTTACCATGTTGGCCGGGCTGGTCTTGAACTCCAGACCTCAAGTGATCTCCTGCCTCAGCCTCCCAAAGTGCTGGGATTATAGGTGTGAGCCACTGTGACCTGCATCAGTCTTTACATGGCTTATTCTCCTAAATCCTTTCCACAGCCCTGTGTGACAGATAGTATTTGTGTTTCCTTTTAATAGATGGGCTCAAAGAGGTGAGATGACTTCTCCAGGGTCCTAATGCCAGGATTTGAACTTGGACAGTCTGATTCCAGAGTTTATACTCTTAACCTGTGGACTTACATGTCTGGTGGATATTGTGCTTTAAAACCCTTTGGGCTTACACATGTACGTTTCCCCTTTCTGGAATCATCTTTGCCTCTGCCCACTCCATCCTCTCCCTTGGCTGGGGTAATTCAGGTTTCACTTCAAACCTCCAGGGCAGCTTAGGTCCCCTTGCTTTTTGTTGTCTTATCTTCTTCATTCACAACACGTCTTACTATATTGTTATTTCTTTTTCTTTTTTTTGAGACGGAGTCTCAAAATTGCGCTGGCTGGAGAACAAGGGCATCTCAGCTCACCACAACCTCCACTTCCTGAGTTCAAGTGATTCTCATACCTCAGCCTCTTAAGTAGCTGAGACTACAGGCATGTGCCAACATGCCCGGCTAATTTTTGTAGTTTTAGTAGAGAAGGGGTTTCGCCGTGTTGGCCAGGATGGTCTCTATCTCCTGACCTTGTGATCCATCCGCCTTGGCCTCCCAAAGTGCTGGGATTACAGGCGTGAGTTACTGGGCCCAGCCCTATTGTTATCTCTTGCTTGCCTTCAGGTGGACAGTGAGCTTGGTAAAGGCACATCTGATTTGCCACTGGTGAATCAATGCCACGTTATTCAATAAATACTTGACGTAGGAATGAATTTCCCAAGAAAGTCAGTTGCGATTTGGGGCTGTTAAAATCTACTGGAAGTGTGCCATGGAACACAGTTCAGAAATTACTGAAAGAATTGGTACCCGAGTGGTAGAACAAACTAAAAATGCAGACTTGAGCCTGGCATGGTGGCACACATCTGTCATCCCAGCTACTTGGGAAGCTGAAGGAGGAGGATCACTTGAGCCTAGGGGCCCACGGCTACAATGAGCTGTGATAGTGCCACTGTACTCCAGCCTGTGTGACATAGTGAGCCTCTCTATAAAAATAAATAAATTATAAAAATACAGACTTGGATAAAGTTTGGGAGGGCTCTGAGCTTTAGAACTGTAGATTGACCATGTGTCATGATATGGAATCAGGGAAGGGTTTTTAAAAATTTTTTTGAGACAGAATCTTACTCTGTCACCAGGCTGGAGTGCAGTGGCGCAATCTGGGCTCACTGCAACCTCCAACTCCCTGGTTCAAGTAATTCTCCTGCCTCAGCCTCCCAGGTAGCGTGACCATGCCTAGCTAATTTTTGTATTTTTAGTAGAGATGGGGTTTCACTATGTTGGCCAGGATGGTCTTCATCTCCTGACCTCGTGATCCGCCCGCCTCAGCCTCCCAGAGTGCTAAGATTACAGGTGTGAGCCACCACACCCGGTCCAGGGAAGAGTTTTAAACAAGGAACTTACCCATTATGTAATTTAATATAAATTCCCTATCCCCGCTTGTTCCCCTTGGGTTGAGGGATGCTTGGAGATTATAGGAGGAGGAAGAGGTTTGGGCAGATAGGAATACAGAAAATTTTTTTTTCATATGTATTGTGATGTATGTAAAAATATATAATCTTTCCATATGCATTATGCATGATATGTGTAAAACTAAGGTCACTAAGTTGTGTGAGGAGTAGGTAGGTTGGCTTGGATAGTGGGTAGGTAGGGTTGGAGGAGGCAAATTATACGGTTGGACAGGACCTTGAAATCAATCCAAAAACGCAGGTTTTTCTAGGAAGGCCACCAGGATCGTAGTGGGTACTTGAGTTGCTGAGCAGAGATAGTGCCTTGGTGGGAGACTTGGCAGAAGACAGGCAGGAGGATGGGAACAATGGTGGTCCTGGCGGCATTGAGGAGGCTCCAGCAGATATCCAGTGATAAGGGCCCTGGAGGGGCTGGTGGCATCCTGTCAATCTTGGTCCTCTCTCCCCAGAGTTGTGTGGGACCCCAGGGTATCTAGCACCAGAGATCCTTAAATGCTCCATGGATGAAACCCACCCAGGCTACAGCAAGGAGGTCGACCTGTAAGTTCCTGGTCTCCCCCTCCCTCCTGTGCTTGCTGTCTTTTGCCATGTCTGCCCGTCACCCAGTCCCGCCTGACTCCGGTCTTTTTCCCAGCTGGGCCTGTGGGGTGATCTTGTTCACACTCCTGGCTGGCTCGCCACCCTTCTGGCACCGGCGGCAGATCCTGATGTTACGCATGATCATGGAGGGCCAGTACCAGTTCAGTTCACCTGAGTGGGACGACCGTTCCAGCACTGTCAAAGACCTGGTGAGCTGGGGCTGAGAGGACATGGGGGAAGCCCAAGAGCTGCCCCTCATGTTCTGGGTCTCTCCTAGATCTCCAGGCTGCTGCAGGTGGATCCTGAGGCACGCCTGACAGCTGAGCAGGCCCTACAGCATCCCTTCTTTGAGCGTTGTGAAGGCAGCCAAGCCTGGAACCTCACCCCCCGCCAGCGGTTCCGGGTAAGCCTGAGAGTGTCAGGGTCTGATCCCTTGTCTCTGTCCCGTGATCTTTCCCCTGTGCTGGAACTCACCCTGATTCCCTTCCCAGGTGGCAGTGTGGACAGTGCTGGCTGCTGGACGAGTGGCCCTAAGCACCCATCGCGTACGGCCGCTGACCAAGAATGCACTGTTGAGGGACCCTTATGCACTGCGGTCAGTGCGGCGCCTCATCGACAACTGTGCCTTCCGGCTCTATGGGCACTGGGTGAAGAAAGGCGAGCAGCAGAACCGGGCGGCTCTCTTTCAGCACCAGCCCCCTGGGCCTTTCCCTGTCATGGGCCCCGAAGAGGAGGGAGACTCTACTGCTATAACTGAGGATGAGGCTGCACTGGTGCTGGGCTAGGACCTCAATGCCAGGGATTCCCAGGAAGTAGAACTGTCTAGAAGAAGGGTTTGATCATTCCAGCCCTGCTGGGCTCTGGCCTCAGGCCCACCACTAATCCCACTACCCTGTTAAAGACCAACCCAGTACTTCTCTCCCCACTGGCCAGGGCTCTGAGATCAGAGCTGGGGTGGAAGGGAGCCACTCTGAACACCATGCCTGGCCCGGTCAGTGCTGCCTGCGCTGCATATGAAATAAAATCCACTACATGCCAGGGAGAGTGAGGCCCCTGTGTCTGCTCTCTGGCTTGGGCAGGAAAGCCCAGAAGATACTCAGCAAGGCGCAGGGATGGGGCCATTCTAGCCCAGACCTTTATTGGAGAAAATGCTGGGGGTCACTTAGTCTTGCTCTTGCCTTTTCCAGGAGGTAGCTGGAAGGGCCGCTCTAATGCAGTCAACTTGCTGTTGAGCCTTTCCTCGCTGGCCTTGAGCTGCTCCTCCACCAGCCGCTGGAGCTGATCCAGCTCCTTGTTCACTTGGGTCTTGATGTAGGCTTGGAGGACTTGGATGTGGCCTGCACAGGCAGGGAAGGGATGGGTCAAGAGGAGATGCTGTTTGGGAGTAGGGGATGGTCCCTAGCTGGTCAAACACAGCCCCCAAAGTTCCCCTGGGGGATATACAGGTGGGAATGTTGCTTCCCTTTAGGAAATGTCAGCCAGCCCTTATGTGAGAGGCAGTTGGGTAGGGTGGCTATGCTGGACTTTGCAGATTCAAATTCTGGTCCCTACTCCTAAGTAGGTGTATGACCTTAGGCAGATTGTTTAACTTATCTGTGCCTCAGTTTCCTCATGTGAAATGTGGATAGTAATAATACCTACCATGTAGGCTTGAGGGAGGATTAAATCAGTTAGTATGTAAAATGCTTAGATGGGGCATGCACAGCACATCTATTGCCAAGTATGTGCTGGCTGTTACTGGCTTTCTAATTATAATTTCTCTGGAGCCACCTCTTCTGCCCCACCCTAAACAGCTGTGTGTGTGGTTTTTTTTTTTTTTTTTTTTGAGACAGAGTCTTGCTCTGTCACCCAGGCTGGAGTGCAGTGGCATGATCTCGGCTCACTGCAACCTCCACCTCAGGTTCAAGCAATTCTGCCTCAGCCTCCCAAGTAGCTAGGACTACAGGCGCACACCACCATGCCTGGCTAATTTTTTTGTATTTTATTAGAAATAGGGGTTCACCATGTTGCCCAGGCTGGTTGCAAACTCCTGAGCTCAGGCAATCCGCCTGCCTCGACCTCTCAAAGTGCTGGGATTACAGGCATGAGCCACCACGCCTGGCCTGCAGCTGTGCTTTTATCTGTCATCTTGGACTTCTACATAAGGGATCATTTGGAGAAAGGACTGTATGGCTAAAAACAAAAAGTCTGAAGTCCTGATGTGATCTAAACCCTTCATTCTACACTGCTCAGAGGGATAGGGCAGCCTGCCCCCTCCAGATCCTCACTTGGCTCTGGCTCTAGCTCTGGAGGGGCCACTGTCTCCAGCTCCTCTTCCTGGGGGGTAACTGCCTGCTCCTCCACCTCCTTGCGTTCTTCTTTCTCTGCAAACCGGAAGCAGGAAGAGACTGTGGCCCCAGGCCAGGCCTGGCCCAGCCCTGCCCTGCCCTGGCAGTCTTCCTTACCCATCTCACTCTCTGGCCACAGTATAGGTGGCTGTAGCCCCATGTAAGTCAAAGATAGATCCAGCCGCACCTGGGAAGCAAGGAAGAGGTAGGCTGAGAGGAGGGCACCTGCGCTGAGGGAAAGGGGAGGTTGAGGGTTGCCTCTCATGGTCCACCAGCCCCTACCTGGGATGTGAAGACGTATTTATAGAGCTTGAAGTGGCGGAAGTAAGTGTTGACCACGTAGTCTTCCAGGGCCAGCAGTTGTTCCTCCTTGAAGAGGTCGATGCTGAAAGGAGGCCGCTGTGGTGGTGACTGGGAGTTAGAACCCTAACTATCTCCCAGAGCCCTGGCTTTGCCTCCAAAAGCCCAGCAATCTAGGAGCAGGGAGCACCTGCTGGGATCTTCAGAGGAAGATAAAGGTGATAAACATGAGAGAGACTGGGCCAGATCTTGTGTGGGGACAGGTAAAGGTTCCAGAATATTCTAGGGGAACTGACCCTGACTCCATGGCAAAAAAGGACACTGGTGAAGTAGCGGTAGCACTCCTCCACGTTGCCCAAGGGGGTTGCTGGTAGGGAAAGCAAGATGTGACAGTGAGGCCCCTCTCTGATATCCATTCATTCACCTCACTCAGTAGCTGTTTATGACCATAAGCTTCAGAGGCAGACAGATCTGGGTTTCAGCCCTGGCTTGTTTCCTTAACTCATGTAACAAATATTGAATACCCACTATATGCCTACTGTATGCTGTTTTAGGCACTGAACAAGACAGACAAGTTCCTGCTCTTACGAAGTTTATATTCTAGTGGAAGTGCCATGCAATAAACCAAGAAATAGATCATTTCAGCTATTAAACGTTCTGAAGCAGGTTTTATTGTGCATTATGCATATATTTGCATATATTATTTCTTATAACAGTCCTGTAAAATGTGTACTGTATCCTTAATTTCCAGATAAGGAAGTAGTGAATTAGCAAGGTGATGGCTTGTGTGTGATAATGCTACTAGTAATGACAGAATCTAGGCAGAAATCTGCTTCTGCTTCTCATGGTCACTTGTGCCAGCTCTGCTTCCTCTTCTCCCTGGGGCTCAAACTTCCTGGTAGCTGACCCCTCTCACCAATACAAGCCTTGTGAAGATCCTGGAGCATGGCACAAGCTGCTGACGTCTGCTCCAGTGAGAAGTCCTGCTGGCGGCAGAAGATGAGCATGTGGCAGAAGAGGTCCAGGGTGATGGCATCCCGTAGGCTCTGCTCAGGATGTCCTAGCTCCAACAGCTCAGCCAGCACCCTTGGGAGGGATAGAGGAGCGAGTGACAACCGGAAACTCCTTTCATCATCCCACATCCACCACATGATTTGGAGTCAGCCATTCCTCATGTCTTCCCAACCTGACCCCCTCAGCCTTTCCCAAGAGCTCTTCCCTCCCCACTCAGTCCCTACTCCCTCATCTCCTCAGCATTGGTGGTCTTCTCCAGCTGGTGCATGGAGTGGATGTCCAGGTACTTCCTGTTATAGGAAAAGAAAAAGTACTGGTGGCATTACATATCATGACACGGCTGTGACAGCTAGAGCATGGGACAGGGAGTCAGGCCACTGGCATGAAGCTGGGCTCTTTTGCCAACTTGCTGTGTAACTATGCAAATTGTTACCTCTCTGGACCTAAATGAACTCTTGAATCTCTCCATTTCCAAAGCCTAGGGTTAGGAATCTTGAGTTCTTTTTTCTGCTCTGCCACTACCTTGTATGACCTTGGCCAAGTCCCCCTGTGGCCCTCAGTGTCCATCTCTGTACGATATTCCACAGCGGCTATAAGACTCCATTGACATCCTGTCTTTGGCTCTTTTTTTCTCACACCGCCTCTTTGGACTGGGGAAGCTGGAAAGCTGGCTTCCAGTCACCTGGAATAATTGCATCTCCAGGCCTGTCTCCTCATCTGTAAAATGGGGATGCCCTGGCCACAAGACAGGACTGTTGGGGAGGCAATGAAGGAAGAACGCAAGTGTTCAGTGTAACTTTTCCCCAAGTCTCTTCACACTCACCACATGCAGATCCGAGGCCGGGGCAGCGGCGGCTGCGGAAAGAAAGCGAATTGGGGAGGCAGAGCTATGGCGTCCTGGCAAATGGCGAATCTCCAGCGGGCACGAGAACGCGCTGTATGTAACTTGCCATCTCATCTCAAGGACTTAGAAAGAGAGGCGCGGGCGAGGGCGGGCTTCAGTAGGCCCCAAGTGCTCTTAGCGAGCACAGTAACCACCGGGGTCACACACCCCTGCCTCTCCTTGCCCAGGCAGCCCGGGAGACGTCCCGAACCTTAGTAAACATAATGACGGGAGGCGCCTGCGAGGGAGCCTGTTTATAAATACGAGCGGACCAGACTGTCCTGCCCTCACCGGGAACAAGTTGGCTCCAGGGTCTTCATCCGCTTTGGCCGCCGCCGCCGCCGCCGTCGACTGGTTCCGCATATTTGCCCGCGTCCGCGCGGCTGAACCGCGCACTGACCTGCGATCCTTCCCCGCTTCCCGCCGCAGCTCGGAGAGGTGTTCAAGCTCCGACTGCACCCTCATTCCTAGAAAGTGGCTGGCCTTGCGGTTGAGCATCTCGCCGCTCTTACTGTACTGCAGGACGCCCCAGGCTCCCACCGCCTCGGTTCCAGGACAGCCAGTTCTCGGTCTGCGGCTGCCAAGCCCGGGCACTCGCCTAGCTCTGGCCAGCCTGCGCGCGGAGAGGCGCGGCGGGGCCAATCCGTTGGGGCGTCTCCCTGTCTCAACGGCGACGGTTGCCAAGGGTGCTTGCGAGGGAAGGAAAATGCAGGCTCACGCCAGTGTGTGCGAAGAGAACGCGCAGATACGTAAGAAGTTGCGAGTGCCCACCTGGGCGCCCTCTCTTCCAAGTTGCCAATAATGGGAGGGCCGGAACTCTTCTCCAGGCTGGGAAGTGGGAGCGCGGTGTCAGTTACCATGGGAACTGCCTCTCGGCCAATCACCGAGAGAAAGAGGAGGTGTTTGGGAAGAAGCCGAGGCACCCGAGAGGCGGGACCAAGCGCAACCAATAGAATCAGAAAATAAAGACGTTTCCTCACATCCGGTGCTGCCTCTGGCGCCTGCGTTCTGCGCACCGGGGAGGCCAGTGACGTCCGGTGAAATCCAAGATGGCTGCCCTAGACTGACCCTGCTGCCGGTGAGGGCCCTGGCGCCGGCGGGGGCGGGATCCAGCAGGTGTTTGCAGAGTGGAGGTTGTTTCGGCTGTGAAGCACCAGCAGTGCCCACATCTCTGCTCCCTGTCTTCTGCAGGTGACGGAAGTACTGCCCTCTTCCGCCTGACGCCCCTCAGGGGACCCTGCGCCGCTCCTGCCGCTGCGGCCATGTCTGGGCCAGTCAACAAACGCGCCGCGGGCGACGGGGGCTCAGGGCCCCCGGAGAAGAAGCTGAGTCGTGAGGAGAAGACCACCACCACTCTTATCGAACCCATTCGTCTTGGAGGCATCTCTTCCACGGTTCGTGGGCTCTTGCCTTAACACTCAGAACTTGTCAGAGGCCTCCTATTCTCTGCCTAAACTGTCCAGAGTCTTACACCCACTTCCCCACGTTTAGCAAGGTACGCGTTACAGGATACTCTGTTGAAAGAATCTGAGAACACGACGCCTGTCTTCCCGTTGCAGATAGGAAAGCAGGTTCCCAGAGGGCGTGTGAGTTGTCAAAGACTAAGGAGTTAGAAGGGGCCAGGCAGAAACAACAAGAGCCTCCTCACAACCAAGACACTTTCGCTGTGGGTTGTCTGAACCTCCTTAGATTCTGTTAGCGTTTAGTCTGGGAAAACCCTCATCTCCCATGCATTCCAGATGCTCTGCTCCTCTGTCTCTGTGATTGGTTTCTTGGCCCTACTTGACTCTCTCTCTCCTACTTGACCCCTTTGTTTCCCTTGGTAGGAGGAGATGGACCTGAAGGTACTACAGTTCAAGAACAAGAAACTGGCAGAGCGGTTGGAGCAGCGACAGGCTTGTGAAGATGAACTCCGAGAACGAATTGAGAAGTTGGAGAAGCGGCAGGCCACAGATGATGCCACACTCCTCATTGTCAATCGCTACTGGGCCCAGGTGGATGCCTTTTGCTTTCCAAGACCAGGCCTTGATTCAGCTGCCAATCTTCAGATTCACCTGCTGGGAAAGCAGTATCATGTTGGAAAGCACTGAGGCATTCATAACGTTTTTGATTCTTTCTCCTTTCAGCTGGATGAAACTGTGGAAGCCCTTCTCCGATGCCATGAGAGCCAGAGGGAGCTGTCTTCAGTGCCTGAGGCACCTGGGACCCAGGAGGGGCTAACATGTGATGGGACTCCTCTTCCAGAGCCGGGGACATCAGAGTTGAGGGGTAGGACCAGAGTCCTGGGTTCTGGGGAGCTTCCTGGAAAGGAGGGGACTTTGGTGTTGCGCCCCTGAATTGCCTGCCTTATTACTCCCCACGAAATGGATTTCATGTTTGGGCAGTAAAGTGCAGTGCACAAAAACACAGGCTTTGGAGCCTAACTTGGTTTGTAGGGCAATTCATGTTTTGACACCTATTTGTTTCAAAACAATATTACCGTTGAGTGTTAACTACGTATTTGACGCTGCTTTAGAAATGAGTATTGCACTTGCTATGAGGGAGGAAACTATCACAAACATAGTAAGCAAAAAGTACTGGGGCTCCCAAAAGGGAGTAGCTGTGTGCATGCATGTGTGTGTTTGTGAGTGCATAATTTACAATGGGAAAGTACAGGAGGCTTCCCTGAGGACATGTTACACAACTCTGTAGCTTTGGTGGTAACTGTGCCTCAGGAGGCTTCCCTGAGGACATGATATGAAACTCTGTAGCTTTGGTGGTAATTGTCCCTCAGGACAAAGGACAGACATCCACCTCTGAGGCCCTTCCTGGTCCTGGTAATTTTGAGGAAATTATTTACGTCCCTGAACCTCATTTGTCTCACTTTTAAGATGAAGAAAATAGTTGTGTTGATTAAGTGAGTCATGAGTATTGAAGGGTTCAGTCTGAAACTTGGTACAGAGTGGTGGTAACTGCTGCTGTTATCCTCATGAGGGTCTGTCCATTCCTCTCAGAGCCCTTGCCAATGCAGCTGCGGCCCCCTCTCAGTGAGCCGGCTTTGGCTTTTGTGGTGGCACTGGGTGCCAGCAGCAGCGAGGAGGTGGAGCTGGAGCTGCAAGGCCGAATGGAGTTCTCCAAGGCAGCTGTGTCCCGTGTGGTAGAGGCCTCAGACCGCCTACAGCGCCGGGTGGAGGAACTCTGTCAGCGAGTGTACAGCCGAGGTGGGTTCTTTGTACCCATACCCAAGAGGTGTCCATCTCCACCTGCATCTTAATGGCATTCCTTCCCATTTCCCCTAAGGCATGAGTCCAAGGGCGGCCAGAATTTCCCAAGGAATAAATCAGTCATGTTTTTGGGAGGGTAGGTTAGGCTATAAATGGAGGTTCCAACTTTGATTACTGGATTGAATGCTAGAGAGATGGGTTGGAGGAGTTGTTGATGCTGGTAGAGCCCTCTGGAGTACTTTGTGCGGGTTGTGGATCCACAAGGCATAGTATCAAAGGTTCAGGCCTTTCAGGTTGACAGGCTCCTCCCACTTGAGTTCTGCCATCCTCACCTGGACATGCTGGGAAAGTGGCATCCCTCTCTGAGCTGGTTTCCTCCGCTGTGCAGTGGGGATAGACTCTTGACTTTGTCATGAGAAATTGGCAAGACAGCTGATAGATCACATGGCACATAGCAGACTCCAGAATAAGTTAGTACTTTGCCCCATTGCCCTGAGCTGGGCTCTTACCTGGGCCCTGCTTTCCCAGGGGACAGTGAGCCCCTCAGTGAGGCAGCTCGGGCACGAACCCGAGAGCTGGGCCGTGAGAACCGGCGGCTGCAGGATTTGGCCACCCAGCTGCAGGAGAAGCATCACCGCATCTCATTGGAGGTGAGGAGTCAGGGGCTTTGAGGGTGGGATTAGAATCAGGCAGGAATTGGGTTAGATGGGCACCCAAGAACTTTAGGAACCAAGTCCCCCATCCAAGCAACTGCTTCCTCCTTATTCCCAGTACTCCGAGCTTCAGGATAAAGTGACATCAGCAGAGACCAAGGTGTTGGAGATGGAGACGACAGTGGAGGACTTACAGTGGGACATCGAGAAGCTGCGGAAGCGAGAGCAAAAGCTCAATAAGCACCTGGCTGAGGCTTTAGAGCAGGTGGGGCTGGGGTGCTGGGGCAGGTGAGACAGGGCTAGGTGCTGGGGTCCTAGCTCCTCCCCTCCATATTCATTGCCTGTCTATCTTCTCTCCCCAGCTTAACTCTGGCTACTATGTGTCTGGGAGCTCCTCAGGCTTCCAGGGGGGCCAGATCACACTCAGCATGCAGAAGGTGAGTGGCATCTTTTTCCCAGCCCCACCCATGACCTCTTCTCTGTTGCACCCTTGAAATTCCCCTCAGGATGAAGGACAAACATCCACCGCTGAGGCCCTTCTTGGTCACTCCTGCTGCTCTTTCTTTCATGCATTCATATACTTGTTGAGTAAATTTTTGAACACTTTGTGCTAGGCAATAGGCATATTGGCAAGAACAAAATAGAGGTCAAAACTTTCATGGACCAGACAGGAAATAAATAAAAGAATATGTCTTTAGATTCTACTTGTGGTAGCAGATAAGAAATCAGTGAAGGCCGGGCGCGGTGGCTCACGCCTGTAATCCCAGCACTTTGGGAGGCTGAGGCGGGTGGATCACGAAGTCAAGAGATCGAGACCATCCTGGTCAACATGGTGAAACCCCGTCTCTACTAAAAATACAAAAAATCAGCTGGGCCTGGTGGCGCGTGCCTGTAATCCCAGCTACTCAG